GGCTCTCTCTCTCTCTCTCTGACTGCTGCGGCTTCCATTGTCTTTCTAGCCATTCTATGAAGAGCCACCACCACGCGGCCTATGAGCAGCGGCGCGCATACATTCGCCCATCTTCCCGCCAAAGATTAGCTAGCAAATGACCTTTACCGCGAATTTCCTAATCGATTGGCCAAAGTACGAAGCACTACTACTCTCGAGCCGCGCGCCAAGTTAACTACCTCGATATCGCCCCCCTGCGCATTATGTGTGCGATCGTTGTTCCAGAAGCTCGCTGCAGCTTGACGAGCAGCCATCGACCTTTGTTACATTACAGGTAGTGTATGCAGATGAATTACGGAACGCCAACTTTACAAATGATTCGAGCCATTTCTTCGGATAAAAGTTTATACGAGTCAATTACGAGAGGCGAAATAGACTTTTGGCAGGTACTCGGGGCTGCTCTATACAGGCTTGGCAGCACGTATATCGGATCGTAAGGCCTGCACGAAAAGCTGATCGAAAATACAAATACACACAACGTGTGCCACCACTTCGTGTTGGCATATTATAGCGACTAGCTGCTGTGCGGTATTGGCGGCGCTGGCAGTGAAAGCAAAAAAAGCATTCGCCTGTTAAATCGATTACAGCTTGCGGAGAATTGCTCGCTTTTTTTTTTCCTCTCTCCTTTTTCTCCTCGCGCGCTCGCTAAGAGCAATATCACATCTGTACCGAGAGAGAGAGAAAAGCTCGCGCGAGAGTTCTGTTTTTCTCTCTCGCTCTCTCTCCATTTGGTTTGGCTTGGTCGGCTTCTTTCTCGGCGCTTGTGTACATAATGCACTGCAGCATGTACAGATACCTAGTAAATGTAGGTGCTACGTATATATTCTATACGATGTATAAAGTGTGTATCGCGCAGAGAGTGAGAGAGAGAGCATTAGTAATGGAAAACGAGAGCGGCGCGCGTTTGACGTTTTATATATATTATAGCGCAGGAGCAGCCGGGCCACGTATCGCGCGATCTGCGTAAAACCCGGAGTGACTAGCGACTTTTCCCTCGCGCAGAATCATCAAAGCAAATGTTTGAGCTGCTGCTGCTGCCTGCCTGCTGCGTGGCTTCTGCTGGTGCAAAAGCTCCCATTGAAATAATTCCTACACGGCAGCAGCCCCTCTCTGTTGGCTGCTACTACGACTACTACTACGTACTACTACTACTACTTTCCGCACACAGCTGGGGGGAAGGGCGGCAAGGGCCGGAGAGAGTTCGCGTAATTTCATCTCGCGCGCGTAATTATAGCGCACCTACTTATTTGAGAAAAGTCGCGAAAGAGCTTGCAAACGTAGGCGCGTATGTGAGTGCGTGTGCGGCCTCGCTAGTTGCCGAGCAGTAGCGAGCGCGCCCATGCAAAATAATGAAATCAAAGACGTGCCACGTACGCACACACACACACGCCAACTCTCTCTCTCTCTGCCTAAGCTCTGACGTGCTCTTATGACGCGCATACGTACGCCTTGGCGTTTTTTATTCTGCCTTTTTTGCTAGCACGCATTCGCGCGTGTCACCCTTTTTGCCGGTCGCGGTCTTGAAAATCGCACTTGCCTTTGACGAAAAAGCTGATGCTTTCGAGCGACCGCTCCAAGCTCGTACGTACTTACATACGTATATATAGAGAGAGAGAGAGGCGTGCAAGCACGATAGCAGCGCGTTACAACGAGCTTTGGCAAACTCGAGCTCTCGTCGTTTCGATCGTTTCTTCCTTCTTCTTATCTGACACGACTAACGACTAACGACCGAAGCAAGCAGCCAACCAACCAACCAACCCGACATCGCAGTCGCCGAGAAAGAGAGCGAGTTTTTGTTTTCGCGTGATTTTCTTCCCGATATATAAGTGCGCTCTGGCGTCGCGCACGACGAGAGGGAAAGAGCAAAGAGAGAGAGAGAAAAGCCAAGGTACAACGACGCGCGCATGACTGAAGATGACGCGGAGAAAGGGATCGCTGACGGCAATAATGTGCTTGCTCCCAACGACGCTGCAAGCGAGCGCGCACGTAGTGAGTAATTACCCCGAACAACGCGAAACGCAAGACCCAGGAGAAATAGAGAAAGATAAAGCGCAAACGCCGAACCCGGACTGAAAACGAACTTGCGCGCAAGAAACGAGACGAAATGAATGAACCTAGTGCCGTGTACCCATACATGTGTGCGAGAGAGACGTGTAATTGGACGAATATTCGATAAGCCTCCGGCAGCCTATGCAACACGTACGGAACACAGTCGAAATGTCGGCTTTTTCTCTCTGCACTATCGCAAGCACCACACCGTCCTAAGCCCGCGGCTAGACTTTCTTTTTCCCCGACCTTCCTCCCTTTTCTTCTCTCTGTCCTTCGTACGCCGAAATAATTATTTGTATAAACGTACATCACTTGTGCAATACTTATCCATGCTCGGAACCATGTTCAATAATACTTGTTACTTATAAATTATGATCAAATCGTGGTGTGAGTGTAAAATTCAACAGAAATAAAACAAGAAAATTTACGAAAAAATCAAAGATAACTCATTTCGTTTATTTAGGACTTTTCAACCATTTTTCGACCGTTTTCATGAAAAAGTTGTCTAATTCATGTTCATATAACAGATTAAATTTCTTAAGAATTAAATAAACATAATAATATCAATAATAATGTACACATTTAGAAATCGAACGTATAATAAAATATTATATACATAATTGTAAATTTCTAGTTCTTGGAGACAATATACAATAGTACGCACTATCAAGACTCTTAAATTAAATGCACATCAGACTCGAGGCTGCGCCAAGTATTGCGAAGTAATAAATAAATTACAAATAAATAATAATAGTAATCTCGCAAATAATATAACTTAAAATAAAACTAATGATTTTAGACAAACGTAGTCATTTACAGGTTGATAGTTGTACAGCAATGTCTTATGGATACACATACACAAATGAAATTACTGACGAGAGGAGAGAGCTTCTGGCGAATATTCGCGTGCTTGCGCATCCGACAAGGCAAACACCAGCCATTGAACTTTACAAAGTGAAAACGAGTTAGGTGTAATATAGCTGCATATGAAGAAAAGAATAATACATGTATATATACATAGACAATGAGAGCAAGAGAGAGATAGAGATAGAGAAAGAGATAGAGTGGGACAGAGAGATATGGTTATGCGTAGTGTATAGATTCGGAAAATTCATTTTTCCCTGCCATTGTGTGTCTGCATATCCGTAAATGGACGGGCGAACTTATGCAAACGCTTTCATATGCGCAGTTATAACGCACAATACGGATGCACATTCACGAACGTGCAGATGTATAGACGTATTAAAGTTGCACATGTATGTATATCCAACGCGAACTCAATCATGAGGCTCCAATGCTGCCGAAGCAAGAGAATGCGTAGGCGCGCAAGGTACGTGTTTTACAACCATTAAACAATAATATATATATCTTTATGTATGTACAATTATAGTCGCGCTCGGTATAATATATATAAAAGTAAAAAAATTAAAGCGTATCTTCGTACAGTCTTGTGTAGCGAATTTTAGTGAATACACATGTGTATATGAATATTGTACAACACACATATACACACTCACACGTATACACATATGCGCGTGTGTAATATTGTAGAGATCACTCGGAACCATACATATAATATATTTCTATGTATATAAACTACTATGTACAATGCAATTCATCCTATTATTTATAATATACATGTATTGTATATATCTTCTGGCCAGGGAGACATGTAGACAAACAACACAGAAGCGCCTATACACATACGTCGCAAATACAGAAAAGAGCGAGAGATATTACTATTCCACGAGTAATGACGGGGGGACGTCCCACGTGCAATATATACGCGCGTGCAGCGTAGGTGAGAGGGTTGCAACGCGCGCGCGCGCGCGCAAGTCCCCGTGGTGCACACAAGGGAATACAATACCCACACACACACATACACACATGCACACACATATATACAAGAAACTTAGGAAAATATCACATGTTCGAAAAAAATGTATCGCGTACATACGTATACACGTATACGGACGTGCATGCGCACATACATTTTCATCTTCTCTTTTTTCTTACTTTCTTCCTGTTTCTAATGAAAAACTGAATTAACGCATGCACCGCAGGGAATAGATAGGAAGGAAGATGAGGAGAAGCACGAAGTAAAATATGGGAGGAGAAAATGTGAGTTTCATATACAGCGGTACATAATATATGTGTGCATATGTATAAATGCGGCACACGCTCATTCAGGTAAATTTTTTTCTCCGTCCTTGTCATCAACGGCAGCACACGCAAAGCTCGCAAGCACGCGCGCGCGCACGGATGCTATTAACGAATGGTTCAGCAGCGTGTAATGTGGTTTTTCTCATACTCTCGGGCTTCTTCGCCGGCGCCGCTGCCGCCTCCGCACGTCAGCTGCGCGCGCGCTAACATTTATATATAAAGGTTCGCACTTGCACTTAAATGCTAGCTCAGTCATCCCCTATATATCACCGTAGCTTACCGTACGCGCATATACGATATACACCGTATAACGCCACTGTATATAAATACACTCGCACTCTCGCTCGCAATTTTACGACTCACACTCTTATAGATACACGTTCTCATTTGCCTTTATTCTCTTACTTCGTGTCTATGTTTTTTTTTTATATAGCTCTGGCTGCCTTTTTTTGTCACAACTCTCTTGCAACGAGATTATAAAATCATCTTCGTTTTTTTCCTATCTAGCGCACTAATACACGATCTGCCCGAGTTTCGTCGAGTGTTCACAAATTTATTTTTAAACTTCATCGTACTATAATTTTTATTCCTTTCACGTATATATAATTTTATATATATATATCTTAATTTTTTCATATCCACGTATAAATTCATTTATAATTTCCATTCATATATAATATAATATAATTTGATATATTTTTATATATTTTGTTATATTCTTATCGACGTACTTAAATATAATTTATATCATCGTTCGTTAATTTATGTATATAATAATATATTTTATAATAACGTGTGTATGCTCATGTCATATCTCATTGAATAATCATAATGAAGATAATAGGCATAGCCACTCGTGCTTCTGGATCACAGACATGCTACTTACTTACTGTGGTGCGATTTCTTATACATATTAAACCTATGTGTAATACGAAATAGTCGCATGCACAGTACGTTGGACACTATAAATAAATGGCTTTTCATTGTTTTTTTTTTTTTTTTTTTTAATTGAAATTTAGCATTTGTATTTTTGCACCGACCCCTTCAACTTTCTGCTACTCGCACGTTGCATTTGCATGTACACAAGAAAGAGAGTGTGAGTGAGAGAGAAAAAAAGAGAGAGAGAGAGAGCATACGCGTTGATACTGCACGTATGCAGTAGTTGGTATCACCGAACTCGTGCTCGCGCAATTAAAAAGAAAAAGTACCCAAGAGATAATATAAAAAACGCCAACACGCACAGAGAAAAATGTTAGTCTGCGTATACGTATACACGTATTGGTCCGTATACAGCAAGGTATGGCAGCAGAGAGCAGCGAGTTAGAGTTCGAGTATCCGTTATGGCGCGCGCGCAATTTGTGCGGGCGTGAAGGCGAAATAAAAAAGCTACGCCACCGAATATCCCTAGTCGTTATCGCGTCCGTTGGCTCTCCAGTAATTAACGTACGTTATATGTGTACACATCTCTCTCTCTCTGCCTCTCTCTCTCTCTCTCTCTCTCTGTCTCTCTTTTTCTTTCTCCTGTCCTCCCTCTCTCTCTCTTGTGAACGCATTTTTTTTTTTGCTCTACTCCCGACGTACTCCCGGCACGCTGCAGCGTGAATTTCGATCCGTATCGATGTACACGTACATTTTTATTTTATCCACAATTATTCATTTTTGACGATGTCACTCGTGCTAGGGGTTTGTTTGACTTATCCGCCTATTTCGCAACGATACGTCGCTAGAGCGTATCTTTGTTTTTCATTGTAACATCACTCCTGTTTCCCTACTTATATAATATATCAAATTTACCAAAGGCTTACCGTGCTCGAACGAAGCTCGAAAGCTCGCTCGACGCCTTGCGTTGTTGTGACGTAAGCAAGGCGAGCGACGACATTTATATATACATTTGACGCAGATTACGGATTATAGACTCGCCACGAGGTATGGACAATGAAGATGGGGAAACACTAGGGAGCGCGTGTGATTGCAATAATGTGGGGGTTGCTTGGTTTATGCGACGTACGTAATTGGCGGCTCGACAATTGAATTGCGGAGGCACTAGTCGGCGGTAGAGCATCGTCGTCTCATCGTCATCGTCATCAGTCGTAAGCGACGATGGCTGCGTCCATGGCCGGATTCAGCGGTTGCTCCTGCAGTTGCTGTCAGCAGGCGCTGGTTTCCTCGCCCTCGAGAGTGCAAGCCACATTTTCGAGCCTGTGAGCCAGGTGCAGCTTGCGGCAAGTCGGATCTGTCTCTAAGACCTCCAGAATCTGAAACATGAACGATAACAATGCCATTTAGAACAAAGTGCATTTCACGAATTGCATAGCCAATTTTACCAAACTACTTTGGCTTAAAATTCTCTTTTTAACTAAAAAATTATTGCCTAATTAAAACTTTCAATAGTCCGCGTCGGCGCATTCGCCGAATATATTCGGCTTTTTCCGGAAATTGTTCATTAAAGCATAATATCTCGAAATTCGTATTAAAAAAAAAAAAAATGATGAAATGAAAGTAGGTATCAGAGTGTCGAAGAAATCCGTTAATAGCGAATCGAAGAGCGGTACTGTGCAGGGCTACGGCAGAGCGGTAACGAGCATACGAGTGGTAGCTACCAATAGAGGAAATTTTTTTCATTATAAGCGCATTCCTATACATCTGACACGCGGCAGCTTTTTCTCGTTACCAAACTCATATTGCACATTGGTTTTATCAATCGATTTTTGTCGAGCCTCCTGTATGGGCGAAAAGAAAGCGGCTTTGGGGGAAATGTGCGAATACAAAGTAGAGGCCACTGCACGGGGTAAAATGTCAAGAGTATGAGAGTGTATGTGCGCATAACATACCCCGTATACATAGGCACACAGTCGGGTATGCATGAATATATGTATTTATAGCATTACACGAGACTCGAGAGAATCGAGGTGAATTTATTGTATTATTTTCTAGCTCATTGGGCGGCTTTTTGCATAAATATAAGAATAAATATAATAATAACGCGGCGGCTAGCTCAGCAGCGAGGGGAGTGAGGGAAGACGTAAATCATAAGTAATTGTGCGCAGGCTACGTCCACGTAGGCTAGAATTGCACATAAATAAATTATGGTGTGTATCACATAACGACTCGAATAACCGGAGGGCATAAATGCATCCATTTCCGTTTTTCATAATAATATAAGCCGGCGCTGCGAAGGCAGCAGCAGCAGCAGCCGCGAGCTGCACGAGCACATAGCTAGGCGCGCGCATGTGCACTCGTGTGGTAAGCGCAGCGCGAGCGAGAGACCGAGAGAGCCCACTTGAGAATAAAATCTCCGAGGGAAAAATAAAGAGGCACACGCACAAATTAAAAATATCGAGAAAACACTTGGCGAATATAATGCCAGCGGCACGAACTCTCCACGGCAGCGGCAGCGGCGGCGGCCCGTGCACACGAGCTCGCGAAACTAGCAATACCATTCTGTTACTCTTTTAATTATGATATCTTTATACGCGCGTGCATGGAGCACCCCCTCGGCCCTCCTGCTTCCCCTCAGCGCGCGCGAGCACACACACACATGCTGTTACACCCACCCATACGCGCGCACACGAACGAGAGTGTGTACTTTAATAAATGAAGTTTTAGCCAGCGCACCGCTGCCGCCTGTGCTACGAAAATAATCAATGCGCAACGTTTTTGCACGGCGCGCATATTATAAATTTTCACGTGTGTACGACTAATTAAGCTGCTCCTCGCGTGTTATTAATTTATCGTAAGATAAATCTCTTCGATGCTCTCGCGCACTTTTTTGCCTAGAACGAATTGGCATATGGCGCTACAAATAAGCCAAGAATCGAGACGAATAACTTATCCTTCGTGCGACCGATTGCGTGCTCGCTTCGAATTATTCATCGCTCTCGAAGAATTTTCATTTCGACAGTTTCTCGCGTCGTTTCAAATTGTTCGACACACCTGCGCATGTACGTCTTGCCGAGGCCTGAACTCGTGAAAAATTAATAATATTCTTGCGTCTCTTGCTCTCGTGCGTGCAGTGCGGAGTGCGCGCGAGACGATTTTTAATCCTTGCGTGATCTAATAGAATCGTCGAGGAACTGCTAAATTTTCTTTAATGAAGCAAAAAGTCATTAACACGCATCGTAGACATCGTTATTTCGCAACATTTTTTTAATCGCTATCCATTAAAACATTGAAAATGGTGCTTTTTACCTTCCAAATTGCACCTGCACGGCCTATAACATTATGCCTGTTAAAAAGTGCGACGCGCTACACGAGTACCGGATGTAATTTGGTTACATCATTAAGACCGTTCAAAGAAAAACTTACGAAAATTAATTGCGCTCGCAGAAATAAGCAATTGATGTGCACCAACTTGCGCATAAGGGCTTGGGTTTGTTTAAACGCGGTAAATTATAGTCATCGACGCGTTCACCGAATCGATTTCATTACTACGTAGTAAATCCAAAATAGAAATGGGAGCGTAGAGACGAGGAGAGAGAGAGAGAGAGAAAATTTGCATGAGCTCAAGGAGCTGAACAAAAGCCTACTCTGGAATCTCTATACCATACTGAGAATCTCAGTACACTCAATTAAGCTGCAGGCAAAGCATAAAACAACAAGTAGGAGTACAAAATACTGGCAACAGCAATATTGTAATGACACTCACCGTTCCATAGTACTTGCCGACGTAGATGTAAAGCTCCTTGAGGGCCGCTATGACATCGAACTCGTTGGCGTGCGACGCGCTCAATTGTTGCATGGTACTGGACATCTCTTGGTCGGTGATGAGCGGCAACCTCTGTACCTCCGAGTAAAATCGACCGACTTTCTCGCGATAGTGAGGTATGTCCTTGGCGAAGAGCAGTTTGTTCGAAGGCGAGTCCTTGCCAAGCCGGTGCTCGCTGGTCGAGCAAGCATCCATGAACGTCTGAGCGATGACGGACAGGCTCGAGTCGACCGTCGGCGATTTGTTTATGTCGAACATGAAGTCTGGGTTTTTGATGAAATTCACCCAGAAGCGTAGAGGCAGACTGTTGGACTTCCAAGCATGGGGCACTTCAGGATCGAGTATCTGGTGCTTGGCTGCGGCATCGTCGAGCAAGTCGAAGAGCCATTTAATTGAGCTCGGCAGTGCTTCGTTGGCAGTTAATATCGTATTGAAAAAGTCATCGACAAACTTTTGGACGGTACCCTTGGTCGACAATAGCCTCGTCAGAAAAATTTCCGGTATTGCCTTGTGCGTGCGTTCTGGATGGAGACCCGGTGGCACTTTGCCACTTGCATAACCCATCGATCCGTAGTGAACTTCGTCAACTGGTCTCACCTGCTTTGACATACGTATAAACCATTAAACTATGTACTACTTCAATAAGGTGAAAAGTTCTGATAATATTCTACAAAAATATTGAAACGCGATAATTGAAAGTCAAATTCAGAAATTTGTTAACGAATTACTTGAAATACTTTTACGAAGATAAACAATAGCTTACCAAATGATATAGTCTATGAGAGGATGCATGAGTGACGTCAACGTCACCGTTGGCAATGATCATTGGCGGCGAGTGTTGGGTATCAAAGTAGATGCCGCTTCCAGGTGGAGCATACATAGGCGCCGACGGACTAATGAGCTGATGATGATGGTGAGGGTGGCTAGGGGTCGTTGGCGCAATATGCACGTTGGAGCAATGCCTCGAGTACTGCTGGGCAATTTGCGCCAGCGGATGCTGCTGATGCAAGCTCTTGGTGCAGGTATGGCAAGGTTGCTTGCTCGACAGGACGAAGCTGTCATTTTGGCGGGGTATGAGCGACATAACGGCTGACTCCTTGACGCCGTAATGAGCGAGCGTGTTGATTTTTTTCCAGTCGCCGCAGCACTTGGTCGTGAGATCCTCGTCCTGGAGCGTGAGATGACCTCCGCGACCGTGTCGCCACTCGAGATCGACCTCGTGAACCGAGGGCCTCATGGAGAAGGGCGTGTTTTTGTACAGGGCATCGAGTATTTTGGACTTGACTTGGCTTATGGTGTCGCAATCGAGGACCTTGCATTGTATCTTCTCATCGAGGTCATCTTGAACGACGTGCAGACTGACGAGCTGATGATCTATCTGCTCGCGCAGAAGCCGCTCCTCCGACAAGGAATATCGCGCGTCGTGGCTGAAGGCGTCCACCGGGCCTTTTTCAATTTGGTGCTTGATGGCCTTGTAGAGAAGGAAAAGAGACGATCCTGCGTAATCTTTGAGGTAGTTGTACATACAGAGGGCCATCCAGTTGGTGAGCATTTTTTCGACCACGGACTCGGTGCGCCTGAGCATGAGCTGGGGATGCTTCGTGTTGACGGATTTGTCGATGAGCCTCAGCAACAGATTCATCAGTATGTCCGTGGCGTACTCCATCTTGTCCATGAGGACGATCATGAGCAGCGAGGCGACGTTCACCTTGTCGCGTATGTTGAAGTCCGGCTGGGCCTCGAGGGTCTCGATGAAGGCGAGCACGAAGCACTTGTTGTTGACGAGGTGCTCGAATTGCTGCATGGCCGCGTCGTAGTTGGTGCGGGGCACGTTGGTGCGCGAGCGAGGGTCGTTCAGGATCGGATGGTCGATCACTCCCGGGAAGAAGACCTACAACAGAATAACGAAGCGCAACGATGTACAGTCGAGCGTCGACCGATAATAGACTTGGCTCCCCTCGCGTCGCCGTCCCCCCTTTTCGCAATGCGACGTAGTGTGCGCGCGACTTACGCGCGCCACGAGCTTCTCCGATACATGTCCGGTGAGATTTTCTTTCCTGGAATAACCGCTCAAAGTATTGCCTTACGGCCGTTCGGTGGGCAACAGCAGCAGCAAGAATAACAGCGAGCAGCCGGCAGTCTATCCGTGCTAAAGAGCTGCGTCTAGCCCGTTATCCGTGCTACGAGCTATCTGAATGTTTAAGCTCCTCAATTATGTAAGTAGCCAAGTTACGGAGCCGTTCGTTGTCAATTCTATTACATGTGAAATATCGATATTACACCGACTCGGCTGCGAGTGAGCTGTTAATAAAATTGCCATATCGCTCGAAAGTACGGCTAGAAAGAATCGACCGAACTTACAACCGAGCAAGCGAGCCAGTCTCACGTGAAAGAAACCTTCAAAATTTACTCGCGTGTATTATTAATCAACGACCAGTGTATTGATTTCAGAAATAAAAATACGCTTCTGCCTTGGAAAAAGCTTGCATATTGCACACGAATTCGCAAGAAATTTAATATCGTCTGATTGAATTGATTCATTATTTCAATTACAAATAATTGATTGCGGTTGCTTCTCGCAATGAAGTGAGCTGGCCAGCTGTCAATCAAAGCCCTTCAACGATGCTTTTTTCCTCGTTTGTTTACGGCAGCGCCTCAACATGTTAGCAGTTTTAAATAAACCAAAAAAAAATCGACTTTAGCTCTCGCAGAAAAAGGAATATTCGTATTTTTCAACTCCAAATTAAGCGTAGTCGAGCTACCCGGCCAGCTGCTTAATTTACACGCATTCCGTTTTCGTACTTTGGTACTTTTGCTCGCGATCATTTATAAAATTTTGATGAGGGCTTTGATGGAAAAACTTTTGATCGGAAATGCAGAACTTTGCGCAAAATTTCCTCGACGCGTTATAACTCGCATGATCGTTGCACTTGCACAACAAAATATTCACGAAAAGTCAACTAGATTATGTGTTTTCCAGCAGCGAGCTCGCGCGTACACTCGGTCGCATACGAGCATGTATCGGGAGAGCCGGCGACACAGAGCTCGGATAGTCTGCAGAGGTGTTCGGTCGCTGCTCGCGTATACATGAAGCTTTAATGCCTAGAAAGGCTGTGCGCACCGAGAGAAAAACTCCGGCAGAGTATTTTTTAGCGTTGTTTCGAAAGCCGCTTAGCTCGGAGCATCGAGCAGGCGTCAACCACTTGAGCGAGACGACATTGTATACAAAAAGGCTATTCAGAAATGCGATATCAACATCAATGAGCTTTCATGCAATTAAAGTCTCTATATAGAATCTGACCTTGACGAATCACTCATCGATAATCCGAGCAAAAAGACGCGTTTGTGTGTTCGCTACAGCGGCGTTCTTGTTTTTCCTTTTCACTTTGCAGCCTTATCATCGCGTCATTTTCCACGTTGTGGACCGTGCTTTTTTTTAATTAAAGTACGCGGTGTTATCTTGCTTAATCTTGTAAAGCGATGCACTCTCTTCTTTGGGGCTCAAAAATGATTGTAATACGGGGGTTTTTTTTCGCTAACACATAAGACCGTCTAAGCACGGAGAAAGCAAGTATAAGCGCAAGCGAGCGCGCGATTATTAAAATAACGTTACCGGAATTTATTTTTTGAAATACGTTACGTTCCCTGTGTGCGTATGTGCATTGGGCAACGGATAATTTTGCGCAGAAAACTCGTTACACGTTTTCCCCCCGTGCGAGCTTTTATGCGGTGTACGCGGGAGCGCGCGAGAGGTAACGTAGCCTCGGGGCAAAACTCAAATTCACAATCTCCGCTTTGCGGTTAAAAAGCATGTTTCCCCATACTATGCGCGGGGTCTCGTTTCCCAGCTCATATATGAAAGTTGACGTTGAATTTACCTTTATTCGCGAGTTTATATTCTCTGCTGAATAATTTCGTATTATTAAATTCCATCCCTTGGTACAATTGTTTCGAGCTTTCGGAACAAGTCGAAAACGAATCGTGGGCTAGGCCAGAGTATTGCGGACGGGGAGCCAAGGGAAACTAGCGCTGTTTCATGTGGTCCACTCACCTTCATGATGTAATTCTTGTGATCCAAGGTTGGTATACCCGAGGACTCGAGATCGGCCGTGAGGTCAGTCATGTCGGTCTGCAGCTCGGCGAAGGCCTGTTTACACTCCATCCTGACGTTGCTTTCGAGGGTGTCCATCTGAATCTGGATTCGCTTGTACTCGCGCTCGGCTTGCGTACTTTTGCGTCTGTACACAATTAGCACTATGACAAACACGAAGATGAGACCGAAAGTTCCGGCGGCGATGCCCGCTATTGCTTCCGGTGGAATGGGATACGACTTTATCAGATCGTAGTGTAGATAGCCAATCGGGAAGCGCAGATTTCGTCCAAAGCGCACGACAACGAGCGGCAGTCCCTGATCCGTTCTGTAGCCGAGCTCATCCGTACCAGCGGGTTGCTGCTCTGGCGGTGTACAGACCAGCTGCGTCAGAGCCAGCGATGTCACGTTGCACGGCTGCGATCCTACGCTTACACTCACGTCCGACTCGTCACTGGCAAAGTTTAGATTTTCACCTTCGATCACTAATGTGTCACCTTTGTAAAGCTTGATGTTGCGCGGAAACGGAGTAATCTTTGGATCTTCGACGTAAACGAGCCGAACCCTCAGTGGCTGTCCCGGTTGCTTGTCGAGCTCGCGTACCGTATCAACGGCGTCCATGAGAAATCCGATCTTCAGACCTAGACCGGACTCCTTGCGCTGCAGCGATCGTCTCCTTCTTCTTCGGGACTGATGCAACTTTTGCTGTTGTTGTTTCAGTTGTAGCTGTTGGTCGAGGAGACTGCGGTAACGAGCTGCAATGCTGGGACTTGGACACTCCATTTGTGAGGGATTTAAAACAGTACACGCGGTGCGATTCACCGGCATAGTATCCTTATCGAGATAGACGATCATCTCAGGTCGTTGGATAGTATCGAGGTTGGTGCCATGTACTGTGATCATTCTTCCACCCGACGCAAAGCTACTAAGCGGTTTGATGTCCATGATAGTCGGGTCGTGCGTGTAATTAAAAGGATTGAGATCGAGAGTTCGGTTGGCTCCGTCGATGCTGAGTGTGAGCCTTGACACACGGCGTACTCTTCCCGAGCGACTGGTCAAGCAAGTGACTCGTCGACTGGTCGCCTGATTGACGTCCACGAGACAGGGTAGTTCGTCGAGGTAAGCCGCAATGGTCGTACCGATGTTTAGATGTTCGCCGCTTATAGCCAAACGCGTACCTCCACTCTGCGGCCCCACGTTCGGATAGAGACTGCTCAAACGTACATCCTTGTAGCTGAAATGTATGGAGCTACGGGTGTAGCCGGCTTGATTGCCGACAATGACGGGGGCTTCGTCGGTGGCCGGGTGCTGACTCGTACGACACACAATTCGTACGGAGATTTCGTAATCGACGAGAGTGCAGGACGCATTACCGATGAGAATCTTGCCAGCCACATCGCTCTGGCGCAAGCCGAGATTGCTGCCCTCAATAGTGACAAGAGTGTTACCTTCGATCGGTCCGCTCAGTGGCCGAATCATGTCGATTCTCGGCTTTGGACATTCGCTGAACGCGGCGTTGAGGCAAGAATGCCGATAGACGCAGCTGTTGCTGCACCACGTGCACTCGAAGTGTCGCTCTCGCGTGACGCACAACGAGCAGTCGGCGTGCTCTCGGTGGGAGCCCAGCACTTCGCACTTGTACAGGATTATGGTCGTACGATCCACGTAATGATTGCCGTTCCACATGACCATGACTTCGGCCTCGTACTGTCCGGTGTGCGCCTCGTACGAGTATCCCGTCTTGTCGCACACGATGTATCGACTGCTGTCGACTCGAGCTTGTACCCTCAGCTGGGCACCCTCCATCTTCACGTAGCACTGGAAGCCCGTGTGCCCCACCTGGGGATGCGGCAGATTTTCCACCTCGAGACTGATTTCTTTGGGTACGTTATTCGGTAGCATCAGCGGTTTTTGACGTCGCACGAAGCGCGGGCAGTATTGAGCACCGTGCGCAGCTAGATTAGGCGATACACTCTGGAACAACATAAAAAAAATGCAAATGAATTCCCCCTGCTCTTTTTTTTATCTTTCTCATCGAAATGCGGACTTTGAAAAGAAAAGTGAAATTGAAAAAAAATACTCACATTTTCGCTGGATATGATGGTCCCTTGGCATTCGGTGGTATTGTGAGTACACTTGTTATCGTAGATGCACCAGCTGCAGGCCCATTGCGCTTTGACGCAGTCGGTACAGATGGTGTGTCGCGAGCAGTCGAAGTAGGCAAAGTTGCGCGACACAAAGTCTTTGTTGGTCTCGCTGGATCGCACCGACAGCGGCACGTTGACGTGATCGGCGTCCTTGGGAATGTTGGGCCTGAAGTAGATGGGCGGCGTCGGGCAGGACAGTCCGTTGGCCGTCATGAGAGCGTCGATGGGGTCGGCGCTGCCGAAGACGCACTTGTACTTGGCTCCGATCGGCAGCTCGGGCAGCGTCCTGATGGTCAGCTGGACCGTGGTCATCTGCTTGATGGGTATGCGATCGGGCAGAACCTGCTCGAAGTCGATGCACTGCTGTCCCGTGCCGAGGCCCAGCCATCGAGGACTGCTTCGATTGGCCGCTTTTTGGCAGTCTCGTCGCACCGTGCACCTGCAAAAGCCCATGAAATATGATGTTTGCGATCGAGTAAAAGCCCGCGGACCGCAGTAAACTCGTTGCGGCTGTCGCAGAGTGGGGAAGGCCGGTGTGTCGGTATATGTATAGGAAAAACTCGAGTTTCGATTGATGAAGCGAGCATATCTGCCTCGCGTATCTGTTTGCTCACGCGTGGAGGAGCCCTGGCTTCGTGCGCACACGCGACTATGCATATTCATGCGATTGAAACAAATCAATTTGCATTTCCGGCCGAGACTTTTATCGATTTTCAACGACGCGCGCCGCGCTCCAACATCGTGCGTCGGCAAAAGTTATGCGCGCGCGTAGGTATTTTACGCATTTATATAAATTTGCACGTTCGCATAAGTGCAGAAGCATCGGACCGGTCATGTGCGTACTTTTCGCGTGTCATAAATTCCATGAAAAAGTGGTGCGTCGGATAGACGCTATATACTACCTATATGGAGCGCACGAGGCGCTCGTTCGTTCGTGTGTGTGTGTCTATGTGTATGTGTGTAGGTATATATATGGAGTGATAAAACTTTGTCGGCGGCGGCGTGCGCGCTCGCTCGCGAGCGGATCGTGAGCCATCGCATAAATCGTTCAATTTAGTCGCCAGTACACGCTCGGCGGTATATATACGGCCCCGGCGAGCCTCATCATTTTCCATGAGTGAAGGTACTTACCGCTTTTCCAAGGAGCACCAGCCGCAATAAGGATCACCGGCAGCGAGGCAGCTATTGCAGTTCGTGTAACTGTTGCAATGTTGCACCTGAATCTTGGAGATCCGAGAGGTCGAGAGAACGTAGAGGTAGTCGCCGCGCGGCGCTATCGTCGTGTCCGGCAGGATCTTGTTGCCCTTGTCCACGACTATGCTCTCGTAGAGCGACGCTTCCGAGGCGTGCAGCAAGACCTTCTTGATGCTGCCGTCTTCCGTGCCCAGGAAGGCCACCGTGTGACTCTCCGTATTAGCCAGCGTTATCGACGTGACGAAAGTGTCTGGGAAATGAAGAACGGATTTCGCCTCGATCGGCGACACGCCGGATATTTTTAGGCCGACTTCACAAAAGTCTCGTATGTTTCCAGTTTTCTGTAATGAAAATAAACGCGTACGCCCAGGCGCGTTATCGAGATTAATAAAGAAAACAAAAATCACTTGGAGCAACGAGTAAAGGACGAGAAGGGGAATGAACTTACGCCCGCCTGTGGACAAGCGCCATCTTCCAAGGGCCCGCTGATGTAGCCCATATTTCTGTACTTGATGCTTCCGTTGAAGCACATGTGTATGTTCTCGTCGAACTTGTTCTGTATCTCTTGCAGACTGTAAACGCAGATGGCGGACTTGGGCTGGGGCTCGTTGGTGATGCCCTTGCTGGGCGAGAAGCTGGCGACGAAGACGGGCGCCCCGACGGCTATGCCGAGTTGGGCGGCCAGGTCGCTGCCGGCCGGCGCAATTTTGGCGTCCTGCACGAGCTTGTAGGACTCGTTGCGCAGCGCGGCGGCCTCGACGTTGCACTGGAGCGTGACCTCGGTGTAGCTGTCGTAGTTCGGGTCGGTGATGCAGCTGCGCGCCACCCTCGATATGTAGCCGAGCTCCTCCTCCTCCGGGAGGAAGGACTGCTTCTGCACGAGGACGAAGTAGGCGTAGTCGCTGGCGTTGAAGCCGTAGACGTACTTGACGAGGAAGTGGTCGCGATACTTGACGTCGATGTCGAGCTTGGACTGCTTATTGAAGCCGTACTCGGCGAACTCGAGGGTGTCGAGTCGGCGGCTCGATATGGCCGGCACGTCGTGTCGGTACTCGGCGTTGTTCGTGAACGTCGTGCCGACGTAGAGGACGTTGGACTTCTCCCAGGACTGGTAGCGCTCGGGCCCGATGAAGGCGTAGGTGGACGAGCTGTCGTCGTTGGCCGCCACGCCGAAGGCGAAGTACTCGGGCTTGGCGGTGATGTTGGACATGCGGCGCTTCTCGCAGGCGCCCTGCATCACCGAGCCGCATACGATGAGGCTGCGCGTCTCGTAGTCCGCCACCAGGATCTTGTTGACGTTGTCCGTCGCCTGAGTCTCGACGTCGAGGCTCGAGGGACAACCGCTCGCGTGGCATTCCGGACTGTCCTCCTTCGGACCTGCGAGCAAAAAATAAGCGAAACATAATCTCACGATCCGTAATTGCAGTGTGTGCGCACACAGCTCTGCTGCTGCGATCCGGTCGAATAAATTCAAACGCGGAGTATTATATCATATTTGCCAACGAAACTGGATGAAAACGGAAAGGCAGAAAAGCGACGTTTGCGCGCCAAAAGTCTAAATTGGCTGCTTCGTGAATAGAAGCGAGGTAGGTGACGCTTTGGACGTGCGAATTAGCCCGTGATGGCTGATTGTTAGGCCCTCCGAGCGAGGAGGGCGGCGGACGGGCAAGGCACACGGATATATAAGCCAATATTCGCTAGGATCAGTATTGTACGAGTTGCCGAGCGAGCAAGCGAGAGATAGAGAGAGAGAGAGAGAGAAAAGCCGATGGTCGGGGGCACGCCGGGCTGCAGTAGCAGCGGGTGGCAGCGAGCGCTCGATATATCTACGAGCGAAGCGCGCGATTACTTATTAATTTCAAATTTAGCCCCGGCAACGAAGCGCTGATTCTGCCGTATATATCTTTTGTTTGTTATGGATGCGCGCGCGCGCGAGCTTAAAGCTCGCGAACGAATAGTTATATATATATGGCGCAGCTCCGGCATAACTACTCATTATTTATTCGCTGGCAAATCATATACTATATAGACGTAAGCTCGGGCGCGCGATTCAGTTTGTAAGCGCACGTAGATGTACGCGTGCGCGCGCGAGTGTGCATTATATAATGTGTGCCGCTCCGTGATCGTACTACAAGGGCTGTGTATTATCGAGCAGTAGCAGCAACAGGGAGCAACTACTGCCTGCAGAGAGAAAGAGAGAGGGTGTTTAATCGGGCGAAAAATCGCGAATGTGCATCCACCTTATAATAAGCAGCCTACATATGTGTACGTAGCTTACTTGCGTGTATATTGTATATATACATTATTGAGTGCGCGCACGTGATGCACAAGTATTCGGCTTAATCAGAGGCTGCTTGACTTGTCAAAAAGTAAGCAAGTGTGAGTAAGTTTCGGGGCCGCGACGTGCAGCGGCTTGCTCGCGCGAATCTTGGCCCGTTCCAAGAGTGCCGTATACGTGGAGAATATGTATATGCACAATGGTCGGGCTCGCGTGGCCAGGAGAGCGAGAGAAGATGGATAGAGAAAGCTGACGAGCCAAAGAGAAGAGCGAAGCTGACGAAGAGCGAGAGCAATAGCGGAGGAGGCAAGAGGAGGGGAGAGAGCGAGAGAGAGGAATAGCTTTTAATTGATTTATGGACTTGTTAAGGCGACAGGCCTCTGCTCGTACACGACGTGTGATACGTGCAGAATATACACGGTGAACGACCTCGTATTCAAGCTCATCGCCGCGCGCGCGTACCGCAAGCCTGTACTGTAGCAGCAGCTCTGTGATCTCTATGCGCGCACATCTCGTACGTACACATAGCACGCGCGTAATATATACACCGTGAAGGTTTATTTTTACACGGATTCGGAGCGTGTATTAGGCATAATACGCGAGCTGTCACGAGCCACAGCTCTACGTCAATTTTTGACGAAACCTCACGCATCAAGGCGCTGGATGAGGCCAAGCCGCTCGCTCGCGCGCCCGAAAAATGACTATTTTTTTTTATTTTGACTTTGCTTTGATTTGCTTTCAAATGACGAATGTCGAACACGAAAACGAACACGTGTAAGCGCGATGTAATGCCCGTGTTCTCAGGCCAAAGAATGTCCAAATATCGATGTCATGATTTCGGATCTCAGTCAGGCAGGCGGGCAGGCAGGCAGGCAGGGAGAGATTTTGCATATCATCGAGCGGCTGATCCCGACCGTGGAGTGCAGAAACCCATACGTAAGCTCGCCATGGCCAATACCTTAATACCAAAGTCGATCACACGTATACACCGATCGGGCATGTAGGCGAAATATTTTAAATATATAGAAGCGAGCGGCGATGGTATCTCACGGACACATGCGAGCGCGAGTCGAACGATATAGGCGATACGTCGCCGCAACACAACAACAATACGATCCGTCACGGCCGACGAAGAAGATGGGAGGCGCTCGCGCCCGACGGGACTGTATCAGCATCGGGGAATCGCATCGTGTATAGAATCGTGCGCCCGTGTGCCGCGATTATTATTCAAAGATCAATGCGCTTTGGCAAATGTGGGTGCGCCTCACGCTGCGAGTGTGTATATACGCGAGCGACACAGAAAGAGAGAGAAAGAGAGAGAGAGAGAGAGAGAAAAAATTTCTTTTGCTGCTACATGTCCCCTGCTGCTGCTGCTGCTGCTGCTGCTGCTGCCGCTACTGCGCTCCCTCACTGCTGCGTAGTATATAACTGCTCCTTCGTTTAAGGCTGCTGCACGTGAAATAAAACTACAAGATCGACGGGGATGACAAGGACGACGCCATTATACTTTGCCCTCGCAGTAAATGGAATTTCGCCATCGATCGTCTCGTCGGCTGCGCGGGAGCGTGTGTGTGTATGTGCGTGTGCACAGAGCAGCAGCAGCAGCACAGGTGGAGCAGCCAATGCTATATACGTGTGCGAGCAAGGCAGTAGCAGGGAAAGGGCCAGCGCAGATAAATTTCCGATTTTTATTATTCCGAGCAACTAATTGCCGCCACGCACATGTCCGGGTGGCCAGCCGCCACCGCCGCCGTGGAGCAAGCGAGTATTGATTGAATATTCGCGCGCGCGAGACTAATGGATGATTCGAGGTAAACGATCGCAGTTGCACAGTGTCTCTCTATACTATACATAACGTCTGTGCGTGTGTACGCGCACACATACGGCCCCCCTATATAGTATATGACAAGCCGTGTAACGCACACAACGCGCGTATTCCGATATTACATCGCACGCATGTTGCGCGCGTGTATCAATCCGTCCGCGCCCCGCGGTGAGCGTATTTTTGATCGACAGGCAAATCAAAAGAATCAAGACGATCGCGCTTATTCGAACGATGATGGAGTGTTATATGTTAAAACAACCGTTAAGTCGGCGGATTAACGGACTTGTACATAGCACACAACGCGTATATTGCTTGTACATACGTAGCCGCCGCCGCCGCCGCCACCGCCATCGTCGTCGTTAGTGTGTGCGCGCTTGGCTCTTGTCGCACGCAGCAGCAGCGGCTTATAACATACACATGCATGTGCGCTTCGAGCATGCATAAGAAGGCTTTCAAGCCACAGCGGCGGATTAGATAATCGATGCACGTTTCGCTCTACGAAGAGAGGTAAAGAGAGAGACAGAGACAGAGAGAGAATGTAAAAGAGCTATATATTACTGTATACTGACCAGTGACGACGACCTCCTCGAGCTCGAGATTGGCGTCGAGCTTGATGAGGCGATTAACCGCACCAGCGAACAGCTGACCGGTCTTGGAATCCAGCACCAGATGATTGAAGCGCAGAGGACCCGGCCCCGTGGAGTTGCCGCTGCTGCTGCTGCTGCTGCCCATGTCCAGCTGCTTCTGGCCGGCTCTAACTCGTTCCGACGGGAACTGGCCGACTACCGGCTGCGGTACCAGTAATTCCGTCGACGTGGGTTGCTTCGTGCTCTCCTCCTGGGCTCGCACTGCTTGATGCTGCAGCAGCAGCAGCAGACTGGACAGCACGAACAGCAGCCAGACGCGCTGCAATCGGGGCGGTGGAGGCACCTGTGGTTGTCCTCTTGATATCACGGCCATGGCGATGTGTGTGGCGGTGATTCGGTTTGCTCCGGGTATCGAGAGACAGGGTGGAATCGGAGATTCGAGACTGCTTAGAGAGGAAGAGGAGAAAGCGAGTGACTAGCTCTGTCCAGGCACGCTGGACTGGCTGCCAAGACTATTTTGCAGAAAGGACCGAGTTTGAGTGTGTGAGTATGTGTGTCGAGGAGGACAGGAAAAGGGTCCGAGGTCTGTAAGCCTCAGCCGGCCATGCAATCCGGACGCAGTTCCTCGTTCATTGCTCCTTAGTTGAGTCGTTCAGCTTCTCTTGGCCAACTGAAACAGAGGCAAGACAAAAGACATCGATTAGTCGGCTATTCAACCTTGCCACTCATTATGGAAATATATATCATCGGGATTGTGTTCAATTACAGTTCGGAGCTCGCTCCGATCTGTGGCCGGAGATCAAAGCGAGATACACAGCAGTTACGGTACGGTAACACACGCAATCAAAGCATCAAGTCCGCGACTTTCTCTCGGTGCTCTGTGCGCGCGGAGTATACGGAGACTTTTACAAACGAACGAGTAATATGTTTTGTATACAGAAGTGGCGGAGAGGTGGAGTTGGGAGCGTCGAACGAGGTATTAGTCGCGCGCGCGCGCTCGCCTACCTATATTACGCGCGCGAGAACATTGTTATTTTTCCGGGCCGCGGCGCACTGTGTAGAGCTCGCAGCTCTTCTGTCTCTCGCGTTCTGGCACTCTCACATTAGTCACGAGGGCGATAGACATCTGCCTGGCAGCTCTCCGGCTTTGAAATATAGCGGAATGTGTTGTTTTTAACACGCGTTTCAAGACGCTCAGTTTCGAGTTACGCAATAAATCCTGACACTCCAGCCGCGCGCACCGAGTACAGAGCCGAGCAGCTCGCAAGCTCCGATCAAAATATGCGCGCCCGCGTGAGTTTCATTGTTATCCTAAGCTCGGCCTTGCGCCGTGCACTGCTCGTTTTATCAAACTCCCCGGGGACAGAGCGCGAAACGAGTCGTCGAGCCACATATAGGCGCTCTCGTGTTATTGAAATACCCAGGTTATATGGCTTTTTCCCCTCCTGTTACCTCGTTCGCTCGCTCTCGCTACGCAGCCATTCGTATAGACGACGTCGAATTTGTTGTTAAAATAAACAGCAGCCAGTTGATCGTGCGCTTATTTTATCGGATCTCCGAGAACGCCCAGTAGGCAGCGAGAGATACGTTCACCTTGTTACTCGTGAGAAAAACTCGATTCTCTCCGTTTCTTTTTTCAATGTAGCCTTTTGCAAAACGTATGCGACAGTGCGCGTTAATGCACCGTGTGTGCAGCGAGCGAGCGAGCGAACGAGCAGCCTCGTACGCCTCTCTTCGAAACACCCTTGCATCATTATGGAAATTAAGTGTAAATTAATTGACGAACCGGCGTCAAAAAAGTGAAACTGCGCGTAAAACCTATCCAATTAAAAGTTAAAGAAAAAAAGGAAGCGGAGCTACGTACGTACGCGCGCGCGCGCCTGTATACGCAGCTAGATAAACGTTAATGAGACAAGAAGGCCGCTCCGCCGCTACTGCCTCATGGCCTGAGCGAACTGCATATCCGAACGACGACGACTGACGAGCCGGCTCTGGTCGGATAAAAAATCACTGATAACTTCGGACTAATGCCCTCGCTGGAATGTAGGAGCTTATAGCCTGACTGGTCGACTCTCGAGTACCGAGCCATGTATCTGACTGCTCGCGCCTCGTCATTATGTAAGATATATATCCTACGCTGATGCCGCCGTCGCATTTGCCTATGGAGTAGCGGCTCTCCGTATAGCTTTTACAACGTCAAATAAACGCGCTCGCTAATTTCGCGCCGCTGCTGCTGCTGCTGCTGCTTTCCGCGTCGATGCCTCGTCTATTGAATTTAATCGAAACGATTTCGCCGACCATTGGCTCGCTCGCGCCGAGGCAAAGGGTAAAAACGAAAGAATTGATACATTTTCTCACGCAGGCGCGTTCCGGTATAGATCCGTACATAGCCGAGCGCGCGGCTACAAAGCCCACGCTTAATTGAAATAAATCACTCCAGGTAATCAAGCGCATAGGAAATAATTTATTGCAAGCAATTTAAAAACCATTTCGAGCATTTACTTACTTTAACTGCGCGCAGCATTATGGATTATTTCATATCACTGCAGTGTGCCCACGAGGGTCCTCTGCGCAGTAACGTCGTTATATACCTTATGCTCCGACCGGCTTTAATGTTGTTTTTCGCGGAATTGACAGATCGCTCGTCTCTTTGTGAGTATTGATTTTAATTGGAAATTCATCATGACGCCTGACGATGATGATTTCGCAATCATTTCTTGGGGAGTCATAAACAAAATCCCTCGAAACCATCGAGAGGCTCCTTTATTCGATCGGACTAAGTGACACGCACAATCTATACAAATGATACTAAATTACGATTCAAGGTTGAGCTTTTACGACTTTTTTTTTTTTTAAGTGTGTATTATAAAAACTTCAGAGTCCAGAGATCGCTGGACTGCAGCCAGTTAAAAAAACAACGTGATTTAATTAGTTCCCTCACTTTCTTGTGGAATGAATAAGTAAATAGTTCACAGCTGTGGCGAGGATTTTTCAAGAGCTACGAGTCTCAACAAAAAATAATACCCCATAAGAATACACGGAGAGCGAGCAATAATGCACCGACTCCAACATTTACTTTCGATCAAGAGTATAATACACGCAAGTTTGTAGAACATACGGCCAAGGCTTTAAAAAAACAAGGAAGAAACGACGACTACTTCTTTCTTTATGATTCTTTGCTCCTGACTCACGAGTCACGCTTGCCCAAGACTCAAAGACCCAATGGCTAAAGAAACAGTTCATTGTTTCATAACGATCGCAGAAATCATTTGACATCACCATGTCTTTTGTTTTTTATTTTATAAATGATACGAGATGTGACATGGGAAAGTTTTGCCTCTCGTCGATACCAAAGTTTTTACATTTTTGTCACGCAGCGATGTAAATAACAAAATTACGGCTCAACATTAGAAACTGCAATAAAGGCGGAAGCCGAGATAACAGAATTTAACGTCTGGATAAAAGATAAGAAAAGGCGAGGTGCGCGTGTCTTGCCCGTGGCGTCCAATTAAAATCTGACCCGAAGTGATCAGAAGGTATTTCTCGGATGGCAAAAGTTTGTGCACGGTCGACTCTTTTTATGGGAACGTCGAGGTGAATGAATTATTAATATTTGATTACACTTACGTGTGTGAGATTTTCTATTTCAAAAAAACAAACAAGACCGTACCGAGATATCATACAATTCTCGGTTATATTACACGATGACGATGCACGAATGATACGGAGAAAATAATTGTAGTAATAATAGCGCCAGAAAAAAAGGGAGAGAGAGAGAGAGAGAGAGAGAGAGTAAAGTTGAGTCGAGAAATGCTGTATGAAATGAATGCTCGAGCGTGTGCGTATACGAGTATAAACTTTGCGCGGAAGCAGCAGCAGTAGCCCTGCTGCGCTCTACAGCTTTGAATTTCGCATGCTAAACAATGAAGATGTATACATACTGTAGGAGCGTGGAGAGTGTAAGTATGCATGCGCGAGTGCGAGCATGAGTGAGGTGCGCAGCACGCGTCGGGCTCAGCGCTAGAGAGAGAGAGAGAGAGAGAGAGCAGGGCCGGGCCAGCCCAGCCAGCACAAGTTCATTAATGAAGAGAATTAATAATGCAAATGAACTCGAGCTGGAGCTAATGCAAAATTTAACAATAGCTCTTACCTACATATATGTTTGAAAGCATCTGGAACGGCCGAGCGTAGCGGAGGATGAAGCGAATATTGCATTGCGCCGCATATATAAGTTGTGACACGCCGAGTGTAATGTGCAATGTAAATAAGAGCCGAGGCTAAAGGGAGAAAGAAAGAGAGAGAGAGGGAGAAAGTCCGGGATCATCCGAGAGCCGTTTGGTCAACTAAAACCAGTAGCAAAACAATTCACGCTTTGTTTTCCCTGAGACCACAAAAATGACGATAAGTAAACATATTTAAGGAAAAAGCAAATCGAGTCTCTTAGATCGCACTTGAAAGAGCTGCTCTGAAGAGGTGTGAGAAGAAGAAGAAGCAGCAACAGCAGCAGCTCAGAGTGAGAAAGCCCGTACTACGATATATACATTACGAGCTGAGAGCTGCGTACGAGTAGCTACGACTGCTTTTCCTTGTGGATCATAAAATTTCGAGCTGCAGCCACCGAAGGGTATATGTATATATAGCGCCAGTAATGGCATAGACATAGACTTACTTATATAGAGCCGTGTCTATATATAGAAGACTCGCATGAGAGAAATAGAGAAAGAGAGTCGGTGAACGCGGGGCGTAAACATGTTATGGGCAGCGTCGAGTTATCGTAAACTTTGAATAAAGAGCAGCGTAATTTTCAAAAGTGGCAGTAATTGCGTTAAATTGTAGAGTAAAAGCGTAAATATTGAACTCGGACAAACATTTCCATTTGTCGATGCGATCCATAGGCTCTCTCTCTCTCTCTCTTGAACTGGACGCAACTATACCTAGTAGTTATAGAACTGCAAGTGCAGGTATACTACACGGCTCTCTTTCAAACGAGCTCACGACAAGACGACGACGACGACGACGGGATAGTTTTCAACTTATAAAGTGGCTGGTGAGTCGTAAAGCATCTTATACGCGCGCGAATCTGTGCCATCGTTTCATCGCAGTTACTCGCAGCACAACACACACACAAATAGTTTAAGCGTCGGGCGAGGAGGAGATAGAGCTCGCTACGGGCCCCGTACAACGCCGCACCGAAGCTATTATATTGGACTATCTGGACTACTGGACTACTGGATGCGCGGCGCTGCAGCGGCGGACTTTTTACAAGCCATTTTTTCTACTCCGGGCGAGTTTACTTTCAATTTTTTCGTCAATTACATTAGCTCCTAATTTCACGAGCTCGGGCTCGGGCTCGGCCGAGCTGCGCAATAAAGTATTATATTGCAGCCGGCAACAGTTTATTAGTGGCCAAACATCGGAACCTTATTCCTATATATAATACGTGTAAGCAGTATCGCGCGTGTATATATACTTTTTTGCACGAGCACAAAAGACGAACAAAAAAAAAGATATAGCTTAAAAGCCGAGAGAGGTAAAACTGGTTTCCGAGACACGCTGCGCCGGGACTTTTTAATGCTCTTCCCAAAGTCGAAACCGCAAAAAGTCGTATATTATAAGTATATGCGGCTGTATAGGGATCCACACACAGAGCCAAGTGACACAGGCCGGAGA